AACACACAGCTTTCACAAAACCATTCAGGTACCAAGTAACACCATTTTGGCTACTAAAGTTGTACAAAGCAAAAAGAGGTCTAAAATCCAGTAAGTTTCTATACCTGCAGTTTTAAATAAAGTTTCATTTCACCCCATCGTGAATTATGAGGGTTTTTCTTCACAATGAATCTGAGCACCGGTTCCCTCTTGTCTAAGTCACAGTCTTTAAGGAGATACTCTTCTTTTGCTTCTGTCCTTGTTATAAGCTTATGTTTATCTTCAACATCTCTGTAAGATGTAAAATAATGATGAGAAAGCTACACCCTAAAACCACAGGTTATTAACATCTAAGTCCCCATCCCTTTCAACATTCCTGAAATACAGGTAGCCCTAATCCCCTCTGGTTCTTATGCATGCAAATAACTTTGGATTCCGACAGTCTAGCTAAACTCCAGGCTAGATTTACTGAAACTGTTTAAAAATTCTCCCATTTGAGCAAACGCAGGCTGAGAAGCCTGCTCTTCTAGAAAGGCTCTTCAACTTTCTTACGAGAGGGAGTAACTGAAACGTAAAATTAGTATGAATAATTTTAGGTATTCACCTAACCCAGACGCAATCCAAGAGGACAAAAGTATAAGTATCAGCCTGACACATGGTCAAGAGAGAAAGAATGTGTAATGTGATACAGATCACCTGAGAATATACACACTCCATATGCTTCTAGATCCTAGAAACTGATTAGCAACACAGAGCACTCGTTTCTATAATGCAAGACAGTAGGCAGAGGAACCATAACAGAAAGACCTTAAAAGACTGTAGCTTTCACCAGACAGATAATGAAAAATTGTAACCACAGCAGCATTTATGAGTTCATGGAAAAAATTACTTTTACGCAATCCTGACTGAAGTGCAACTTGAATTGCTTGAGCTGCCAAACGCTAAGTGCTAACAACGGTCATCAAGGAAGTACTGCTGTAAACGTAGCTTTACTAGAATTCAAAGTTCACAGTAACAGCTACTTCACCAAGGAGACTCTAGTGTTCAGCTGTTCAGCTGCAGGAACTTAGGTCAGAAGGAAAACTACTCCCAAGGCCTTAAGTCCTGTCCTTTACACTGTAACTTCCAGAGACACCACTTCGCCTGCAACGCCTGTGAACTGTCTACACCATGTGCACACGCCCAGCCACTCCCTGCAGTAAAGGGGTTGGCTCCCAGAACCAACTCCAAGCTGCATTTTTTTTTTTCATTCACCCAATTCACTCTTACACACATGGATGGCTCGCTGCTGCAGTTGGTTTCATTGCCCTGGTTATCTTGATGGCCTTTGGAGCATTTTCTGTGTTATAGATAAGAGCACAGAGACTACCTTCCGCTCAAGGTCGAACTTCTGCTTACCCTGCAGGCCAACCAGTAACCTCGCACAGGGGCTCTGCCCTTTGGCTGCTGTGCTCCAGCCGCCTCGTGCTGACTAAGTACCAACTCCACTCAGTTTAAATCACTAGGACCACAAGCGCGCTCCTCCTAATCCATGTTTTACTTGAGAGAGCAGGTACTTGTGTTCCATCAGATTTTTAACTGGCTGTAGTGTGCAGCCAGACATTAACTTTTCACACTGACAAACGCACCAGCTGTTCTTATGACACGTCGTATGAAAAGCCACTGATGTCCCCTATCCTAAGGCAGGCTTACAAGACACTGCTGTGATTTAATTCCATAACGGAAAACACACAGGGCACCAGTCAACCTTACTTTTTTTATCCAAGTTACTGAAATGTTTCTTTTGATGACAGCCTTTTTAATAAACAGAATGACCATAACTCACTGAATTATCTTTTTGGCCAGAAATCTTTTTATGTAAAATAGTGCTTCTCTCTCCTGATTATTTGTAATACCTGCAATTATCACATGTTGCCCAATCAAAGTGCTGCATAAGGTAGGAGTCCATGAATTCTTTGCCACAGTCTCCACAGATGAGATAGTCAAATTCTAGTACGGGTGCTAATGGAAAAAAATATTTTTTAAAGGGACTACAATGATAAAAACAAGCATCTAGAATTGGTATTACAGGCAATTTTACTAAAATTCACATTATAGCATTATACAGACTAGTTTCACTCTAATAAGTTTTCCAGAATGATACAGTACAAATTCAAACCTGTTACCATACAATCCCATCTCTGCCGGTACGTTTCTGTTCTCGTTCAGGAGTTCAGTTTTAAGAACTTGATTTCAACATTCAAATGCACACATTTGTTTTTAACTTGGCCATTGTTAAAAAAAAATCCCATTTCCCCACTAAGTACTTCATATCCCCTCCTTCCACTTCTTCTGTTCTGACCCTCCCAAAAATATGTCCTCATTCATAGAGGACATGCGGGTAAGAACATGAGGAAGCAAAGAAAGGGATGCATTTTAAAGAGGGTGGCTAGAGCAGGAAACTACAGGAGCTGCGCTGGCATTTTAGTTCTCTCAGCCCTGCTCCAGTTTTTTTCCTAGCTCAGCCACACCTGCCTCTCCCTAAATGTGCTCAGTGGAGGCCTGGGGCAGTTGGCAAGGTTCTTGTCCGTTCCAGCTGGCAGAAACGGAGGTGGATGGCCAGAGAGCTGCTAGGAGTGGAATGGGGATGGAGCTCCACTACAATCCTCTCCCCAAGCCCTCTCAGCACTGCTCCAAGCCCAGACTCATCTCAGCGCCAGCCATCACTTCTGGGCGCATCCTCAACGGGCGGATCACCTCCAGCGTCATCACCATCTGCTTTATGTTCCATGGGACACCAAGAAACACCGATTCACAGAACAACAGCTATAAGGAACATTCTTTGAACGGTAACATTGGAGTTCTAGCAAAAAATTCACATTTCCATACAGTTTTGAGATCCAAAAGTAAGGCAACGCTGTGGAATTTTAAGAACACCTGAAGCAGAAGATTAATGGTTGACATGCAGCACCATACATTTTAATTGCGTTTGCATTTATAGCAGATCCGATCCAGTAAAGTCGACATTTTATGTAAATTCCGTCCTACTAGCGACAGCCGGATGCTCAGTACTTCACACAGTCATTTCATCCTCTTACATCACATTCCATCATTTAAGGCAGCGCTCCCGAACACGAAGACATTTTATTAAGACAATGACGTTATGAATTACACAGCAAAAAATACCCCCCGTGCAAAGGCATCCCAGATCTACTTTAATTTATTGTTAAACGTTAGCCCATCAAAAGAAGCAGGGCTGCTAATTGTTTACACTGCTAATGAAAGCTGGTGCTGATTTCTAACAAAGAGATACACTGCACCAACAGCCCCGCAGCTGATTCAAGCAGAACAAAGCAAGACAAAGACAATCCCAGAGAAGAAAGTGGATCTATTTTGGGACCCTTACTTCTCTATTTGCTTTTTCGGAGGGGAGAATATCGCAAGGCAATGTGCTGAAATTCTCCACCGAACGATCGGTAACTTGGCGCCAGCACGTTTTATAACGATAAAAGCTGGCACTGCAGCAGCGCTCCGGTTTTGGCACAAACCACATCAACCCCAAAATTCCCAGAACCGACGAAGCCGCGCAGGTTTACTATAATGTCGGTCTAAAAATTCTAATTCCCCGAAAGATATAATGGAAATAACGTTTATAGGGGGGAAAAAAAAATTAAAAACGTGCTATACCCAAGGGCACTGGCTGTGTCCCACTTCCGCGGCTTAAAATTCTTCATTTTTAATTACCGAGCCGATTTAATGCTATAGCCGATTTAATGCTGAAAAGAATCGGACGCGCCACTAATCGAGCACATCCAGAAAAACGTGTGAAAGAGGAAGAGAGGAAAAAAAGAAAAGGGTAAAAAACG